GGAAAGAAGATCGTTTGCCTGCTGTGCGACCACTCCGCTTCCAGCAGCCGCCTCATTCTCGCGCATTTCGAGCAGAAACACAAGTGGGACTGCGAGGACGAATGGCCTGCCCCATGCAGCCTTTCTTCAAATCTTGGTCCTTGGGCTGCAGTCACCAGCGCGAGGCTTTTGAGAGTCGACGCTGATCGTCCAAAAGCGGTGAGAGCGAGGAGTGGGGCCCTCATCGTCTCATCGTCCAATTTTCCCAGTACAGATTCCGAAGGGTGTCGTCCCGAGACGTCGCGGTTCTCCTGGACTCTGCGCTCATTTTGAGGCGCAAACAGCGCAGCCCAAGAAGAGACCAGGGATTTGTATGTGATTCTCTTCTCCTCATCCTCCCCTCCCTTCCCCTCGCCGCCCTGGCCCCCTCCCCTCTAACCTCTCCCCCCAGCAAAAGCTCCATATGATTATACTTTGCTTCTGTTCTCTTTCGCCATCTCGCTTTCCTTCGGATCCTCCAGCGCTCCCGCGTGGTCGCCTCTAGCCTCCCCGTGCTTAAGCACGCGGCTCGCTGGTGCGTGCCTCGCTTTTCCCCCGGCCCCGGTTTTCCCCTGCTGGTCGCTCAGCTCGCCCCGTCGCCCAGCAATCCGCGGCTGGGCCCGAGCGCCTTGGCCACGGGTGCGGCTGCAATTCATGCAGCGACTCCCGCCGCATCCGTCGCGATAGCGCTGCACATCGTCCGAGGAATCCAACAAGAGTGTGGTGTGCTTCGTCAGGCCGTCAGCTCCGTCAATGTGTGTGTGCACAGGAGCCAGCCGCTAGCGCTTACCCTGCCCTGGGTCCCTCGGGTTCAGCCCCTGGCCCGTGGTCCCCGGGCCCCCGTCCCCGCGCCTGAGCTGGGGCTGGGCGCCGCCATGGCTCTGTCGATCCGTCCCTGGCCCCCCGGCCCCCGGGTCCCGCCGACGGGGCTCGCTCCACCCGTGCGCCACTGCGGCCGGCCATGCCGGTGCACTGGGGCTGGCCGCGAGCGCTTTTTCACCTCGGCGAGCATCGACACTCACTCCGACGAGGGTCGAGATACAGATAGGTATCGATTAACCGACTCCCATCCCCATCCCCATCCCCATCCCCATCCCCATCCCCTTCGAGACCCCCACCAAATTACCACCCCAGTTGGGGATACACCCCTTGAAACCCGAAGAGAGCGACCTATGTCCCCATCTTCCCCATCTAGGGGGGTAAATCGGCCAGTGGGGCCCAGGCCACGCCACTGGGGATGGGGATCGGTCAAACGATACTCAACAGACCCCATCGCTGGCAGCACCCACGCAGAGTTGCTGGCGGTGGCCGTTTCCGAGGCTCCCCGGCATCCCGCTCTTACGTCTCTTCCCAGACATCCAGCTGCTCTATTTTTTTCGATGCGTGGGCCCCAGAGGTCCAGACCGCTTATCTAGGGCCGGTTTTTCGTCCTGGGTCATTTTTCGACGCTCCCGAAGCCCGGCGAGGGCCCCCGGAGGCCGAAAACGGCTAAAAACTGCCTGCTCCAATTTTTTTGGTGCGTCGGATCTCAGGGTTTCGGTCCTTGGCAGATCTCGGGCCCCCCTCGGCGCGCTCCCCATGCGGGGCGCTCCCCCTGCGGGGCGATCCTCCGTGGGTTCGGGCTCCTTTTCGCCTCCTCGCCTTGAATTCAGACATAATCGCGTCGTTAAAAAATCGGGACGGGACGTTTTTGGCAATTTTCGGCCTCGGGAGGCCCTCGCCGGGCCTCAGGACAGTCAAGAAACGACTCAGGCTGAAAAACTGGTCCCGGGGAAAGGGTCGGGATTTCCAGGGACCCCGTCTTGAAAAAGTCAGGCCGTCGCATGTCTGGGAAGGCCTTGGGTGGGCTCGCTCCACTGGTGCGTCACTGCGGCCAACCATACCCTGCACAGGAGCCGGCCGCAAGCGCAGACAGCCCTGCCAGGCTCCATGCCGCCAGCGGACAGCATTCATGGCTCACGCCCCTCCTCTTTCTTTTTGCTTCTGGTCCCTGGGTCCCCGGCCCCGCGCCTGTGCCGGCGCTGGTCGCCGCCCAGGCCCTCCCGCCCCCTGCCCCTCCTGGCCCTGTTTGCGACGCGGGGGCTCCCGTTCCCCCCCCCTGCTGGCCCCTCTGTAGGCCGTCCGGCCGCTGGCGGCCCCCCTGGCTGGGCGCCTCGGGGGGGGGGCGCGTGCGTGCCTGTCCCTTGGGAGCCAGGGCCTCCGCGCCCTCGTCCTCGTCCTCGTCCTCCGGGTTGACGGCCGCGAACGGCCCCCGGGCCGGCAGGGAAAAACCTCCCGAGACGGCGCATTGGACCCCACACGAAAAACAGAGAATGATGGCCCCCGGTGGGAGTGGAAGAAGCGGAGTCACAAACCCGATCGATACCCCAAACAACGACAAAAACACTGAAACCCACCCCAGAAAGACAACCAAACATCCGTTATTTAGGGTATATGCTACTCCACTTCCGCCCACCCCCCCGCGACCAGGCCAGCCCGCTGCCCCACCCCCCTTCTGCGTTCCAGCAACAACCCCCGCCGCGAAGGGGTTTGGGGGGAGCAGGCGACCAGAGGAATCCGGCGCCGGACGCAGTGAGTTTGCTCCCCCCAGATGGTCCTTAAAGAAGGCCATCGGCGCTGGGGCCATCGGCCCGGAAGCGCGGCAAAACGAACGCCCAAGCCGGGCTGTCCGTAACGTTGGAACCAAGGAGGGTGGGCGCGGGACTAGCGCAGGCCGCGACACCATTGTGCCCCAACTCATTTTTTTGCGTGTCGTCGATGCGCAGCGGCCAGACTAATCTATTGAGACACGCAACCACACATTAAATCACAAACTCATATGTTGGGTGCTTCGTTGTTGGGTTTCCAATGCGCACGTCGAAGATCGCACCTGATTCACCGAACTGCCTCAACCGGCTACTTAGGGTCCACTACGGGCACCACATCGAAGCACACGAACACTTAGACAGAATAAGCCGGGTCGCCTGGACCATGGGCACCCCTGGCCTGCCCCCCGGATGGGGCTGAGAGGGAAAGAGCCGTAGCCCCAACCGCCCTCTTTGGCATGGAATCCGGGGAGGTTTGAGCAGTCCCGCCCCCGCACTCACAATAAGACCAGGAGAAGGGACGATCACAATGTGGCACTATCCGCTAGCACCCGAACATACAGCACAAGTCCCCTCCCCGAGCATTACCCGTTAGGGGGCGCCCTCCTTGGGAGGGCGTGGGTTAGCCGTACCCCTTGGGGGATACGTTGCCCCTGACGCGGCCGCTCAGCCACCGGGGGATCAACAGTGCGGCCGCCAAACCGAACCCCTGGCCCCCGCGCCCCTCCAGGAGAAGGAGGGGGAGGAGGGGAGAGAGGAGGAAGGGGAACGGCGGAGGGGGAAGAGGGGGAGGGGGACACAACGAGGGCCGGGGGGTGGTTTGATACGGCCGCCTTGTCAACCCCCCAAACGCATCGACTTAGACTCCTGACTGTGAGAACCGTTGACAGGCCGAGACTCGTGGAGGCCTCTGCTCTATGCGTCAGGGCTTCCGCGCCCTTGTGGGAAGCCGACGGCATGCCGGCATTGGCTCCGCTGTAGCCCTGGGTGCGGACACCTCGGATGGGCCCCTCTGTCTGCTGTTCGCTCCACGGACCCGCTCGCTGATGGCCGGAGTGTGTCCACCAACGCCGGCATCTGATCATCTCCTTCCTGTAGAGGCAATTCCTTGTGGTGGTGCTGATGTCCATGCCCAAGTCTCCAACACTCCTCTTCCCCCGCCAGGGGGCCCGGGGACAGCGTCGTCGGCATTGCTGCCGTCTGTGGGAGGATCTACAGCCCACTGCGAGCACTGCCCCTGCGGGTCCAATCGATGCCCGTGTATCGGACCCCCCCGCTGGGGGTGCCTGCGTCATATTACCACCCGCCCGCCTGCCGTTGCGGGCGTTTGGCTCAAGTCTCTTTACACCCCAAAGGAGGCGGTAGGCGAGCCTGACTTCGGTGCACGTGTTGCGCCCTTGTAGTTGGAAAAGACGCCCGCAACCGCGCGCGCATCGCCGCAATGTCATCGATCAGCACGAAGGGACAAATCATACACGATGTACTTTGAGAGACCTCTGAGCTAAGGGGATATGGATCAGATGCATCACGTTGGTCGGGCTGTTATGCAGATCGTGATGATCCTCTGGCCAGAATGCTCATCCTCGAATTCTGCACCCTGGCGTTTTTTCCAGAATTCTGGTTTGCATTGGTCGGTGCCACATGTGGTTTCTTAGAGGATGGGTCCAACCCTTTAAATTTGTCTTTAGCGTCGGTTGGCGTCGACTAGCGTCTGGGAGTCGATGAGAGAGCGCCGTTTAGTGTCGGTTCGCGTCAATTTGCGGCGATCTAGCGTCGATTAGCGTCGATGTAGCGTCGAATCGCAAGAGCCAACAAGATGGTGTGGGTGTCTCCCATGAGTTGCCACCGAAGATGGGGGAGAAAGAGCGTGAGGGAGGAGGGGCCCGGCCGCCCCGTGGCGCAGGACTGGGCCAACGAGACCGTCAAGGGCATGAAGGCTTCGTTCGAGTCTTTCATGAAACAGATGCGTGCGGGCTTGGCCCCATCCCGAGGAGACCCCCAGGAGGAGTTGCAGCCGAAACGGTGGGACAAGGGAACGCCTTTAGTCCAGATGGGGCTGCTCGCTTCCTTGGTTATGTCTTCGGTTCTTCATGATCCACAAAGGTCGGCCATACACCGCCACTTCTGGGCAGGACTACGTTGGGCCCGCGGATGGTGCATCGACCTACTCTAGGCCAGGAGTTTGTATACACCATCCCACGGCCCAGCATGGCCTTGACCAGGGATTGTAGTGGTGTGTAGCTGCTGTTTCCGATTGTTCCGTTTTATCGGGATTTTTTTTGTAACACGAGTAACAGCGGGTTGAGCATTTGCAAGGGCGCGGGTGTAGTGTGTTTCCTTGCGTGGGTAAGCATCCGCATGCAGGCGCCCATGTGTGTTCATCTCGTGGCAGAATTA